GGCTCTTCCTAATTTGCATAATCCGTAATCGGCCCGTGGGCATTACGGGAGAATAATGCCCTACAATTCAGTGACAATTAACCAATCAGAGTGCGCGTTATATCGCCTACAAACACAAGCCATATAATAAACTGTGATGAAACACTCCGGACATTTGAGAACACTTGAGAAATGAAGAAAACACTTGCGGCTCGTGTTTTCTACATTTCCTTCGTGTTCTCAAATGCCCATCGTACTTTATAACAGTGTAATACACAGCTTAGGCTTCTTAATTTGTTAAATAAAATTAGTACACAGCTCTAAAATATGACCCCAGCTAACCAGCACATACACATAACTACATAACCCATATAAGGGAGTACCCCCTCCCCAGCCTGGGGATAAAACACTTCCTGAATTTAAGGACACCATAATTTGAACTAGTTCTATTGTCCCTGTGCTAGCATTTGAACAAAGTCCTTAGTTATTTTAAGCACTGGGGACAAATATCAAGTACAGTATTAAAGGTGACTTTCAGAGTGACCAAATATAAAATGGCATTGCATGATAGATGAATTATAAAGGCTAGTTTTCACTAGCGACGGAGTTGGAGTCGGAGTCGTAGTTGGAGTCATAAGAATGCTTATGACCTAGTAAAAATTGAAAATCAGAGTTGTAAGCAGAGTCCTAACCTCGACAGAATCGGAGTCAGAAGAATCGGAGCGTTTCCATTTCTTCTGATTCCGTTTACGACTCCGTCATTTATGATCCAGTGAAAACTACATTGTCGGAGTCGGAAGCAGAAACGTAAGAACTAACCAATCACAAGGCCCGAAAACAAACACTGTGATTGGTTTATTCTTCCGCTTCTGCTTCCGACTCCGACAATCTAATTTTCACTGAATCGTAAGCGACAGAGTCGTAGGCGGATGTGGCGTTCTGCTTCTGACTCCGTCAGTTTGATTTTCACTCTACGCTTCTGATTATAACTCTGACTACGACTCCATCACTAGTGAAAACCAGCCTTAAGTTGATTGCCATTACCCCAAAATAAGGACAATTAAAAGCTTACTGTCTATTTATTGAACAGGAATAGAGAAGGAAAACAAAAATCTCTCCGTACATGGAAGAAAAAAATGGAACGAGCTAACAATTGATATTAGAACTAAAGTACGTAGGCACTAATGAAGTGATACCGGAATTTATTGCAATTTCATTCTCTAGATTTTTAGTTCTCTACGTTTACAGCTTTATACGATCAATTATTGTATGTTTTTAGTTTTAATTTTTAGAACATACTAGGGCCGTTGATTACCTGTAAACTAGCTGATTAGCTAAGCGTAAACCCCACGTTAAATAAAGCATCGTTATCGTTATCGTACATGACATGTGACCAGAGCGCGAGGCAAATTGATCACTATTTGCATTCAATATGGTCACTAACAGCAAAACCACAAATCCACCAGCTTGTTCATACCTTTCTTTCGGTTCTTTCCCATCACTATTTTCACTATTTATAAAAGATTTCGTTTACAGTTTGTCCTCTTTTAAGTGTAGCCTGATGCAATCTGGATTTCTACGCCAGCGACTTTTGTTATTAATTACTTCATGTACCAATCTCTATTGTGTCATTCAAAGTACCAGTCCTCGACCGAAAAATGTAACGCAACGAACGCTCAATAGAAATTTGTAAGGGAAATTCACTTTGGGCCTAAATACACTAAGATAAATCTATTTGAGTTCAAATAAACTTCACTCACCTCAACAGAGGGCTGTCTTTGTGTCTTTCATGCTATTTTCGGCTCAAACTCTTTATGTCAATTTTTGCCCCCAACCCCAACCCTTTACCGCGTACAACATAATCACAAGAAACAGAATTGCCGAATTGTGGAAAATGAATCTACTTTAGGTTCTAATAAGCTAATTTACAGAGTAAAGTTCATTGAAGTTTTGTGTAATTATTTGGTCCTTATTTATTTCGTGAATTTACATTACGTTCCACCTCAGAGTATGAGGTTAATAAAAATAAAAGCAAAATGGAATCTGGCTTTTTTGGAGTCAACGGATCTGCGCTCATAGATGGCAGAACAGGTGGCCTAGGCCGAGATTTCAGTTGAGGGTTATCAGTACCAGTTCAAACCAACATCTACATTGTTTCCACAGGAACAATCTTCGCAGATGTGATAAGTAAAGAATCGAACATGCGCGAAACTCAGAGAAGCTACAGAAGGTCAAGGTTGAGAGTGGTGTAATTCCCGAGATCTCGACAAGTGTTTGGGTCATTGGCTCGTTACAGTTGTGTTTAATTTGGAAAGTCATATACTCTCAGTTGAACATTCACGAGTGAGTGTCAGTTGATGTAATGAGACATTCTTTATTGTCATTCTGTGTCAAATATAATCGATAATAGATAATACACTTCAAAGAGAAGAACCAGTTTTAAATTACCTTCGAAGGAAATTTAATCTATTTCGGAAATGTCAGGAAATAAAGATTGTTTCGGACAAAATTTTCAGTTTAATAAACGCTATACATTTTTGGCTCGGTAAACTCCATGTTTTTGATCACCTGTTGTTTTGCCTCCAAGCAAATATGTTAAATATAAGATGACCAATCAAGCATAGGTAATTACCATAAAACTATCTACCTGTTCAAAACAATAACATTATGCTAAAATTATTTCATGCTCACAGCGACAAACATGCCACGATTTTATTTATCCAATTGTGTTCAACGGGAAAATAAAAAAATAAAAAGAAGAATTTAAAATCCTTCCTTTTCTGAAAGTAAATTTAGCCACTAGGAACACAGGCCAATTGGCGTGAAATATGAGTGATTTTTCAAATATACTTACGATATTGGCCCGGAAGTTGTAATTAAAGTAACATGTAAAACAACTGAAATTTTACTTTGCATTCTTTATAGGTTCATTATCATTTTCGATAACATTTGCGGTAAAGTTTATTGGTCTATTGTGTCTTCAACCAAAACGCCATAGTTTGCGGATTTGCCTCTAAAAACGACATGACTTGGAAAATTAATAATCCACTTTTCAAGCCTGCCCTTGGTAGACATTAACCCCCTTAATATTGCATGTTGAGCTCCAGTTGCCTTCCCACGGTTTCTTTCTTGTTCACCCACATCGTCATCTTCTTCAGATAAACTAGAATACGAAAAACTATTCGCTATAGTGTCTTTGCCGTCCCTGGGTTTTCCGTTCTTGAAGCCATGCTTTTTGATCCTCGTCGAAGGCGCGCTATTTGCGGAATTGTCCCACATATTTTGTACTACACGCGAAATAGCTTCAATCCACTTTTCACAACTTGATTTACAGTCTGTTTTCAAAAGATGTACACCTCTTTTTGCGCGAAGCTTAAATTTACAAGTTCCATCACGGCTTTGTTGTTTGCGATCAGATATCTGTTTTGACTGTCGGTCAGTTGCGCTAAATTGTGAAGATGACGCTTTTCTCCCCAAAACCTCACATGTCGTCCTCTCTGTCAGTGTAATGACTCCAGCAATTTTCCGCTCGTTCTCATTAATAAACACAAGACTGTCTTCTCGCAACTCCACCCAGTATTCTTTCCATGTGTTTTTCTTCATCTTCTTCCGTAGCATTTGTCCGTGAAACAAGTCCATAGCGTCTGCATTCACCATGCTGGTAATATCCTGATCCCGGCGTCAGTCTTCGTTCAAGTGTGAAGTTCCAAGGGAAGATATCAAGCAAATTCCTCGACCGGGTGAATTCGAAATCTCCAAGAAGACGAATTTCAGTAGTTTGTGATTGAATCTTGCTTTACTCAAGCGAGAGTTTGCTGGCAATGTAATTATTCATGTTTTGTGTTGCGTCAATATTGAGTCAGGTTACGAAACATGAGTACGGTAGCTTGCCCTCAGGGTGTCTTGAAATGGGCCTTGCTGATAAGAAATCTATCTCAAACCTCAATTGACCAATTAACGTTCAGTTTGGTGACCTCACCTAGATGCCCAAATAGCAACCACCACAGTTGGTTTCCTCTTTCAAAAAGCAAAAATTTCAGTTATTTAAATCATTCACTCTGGTTGCCATAAACAATTGATGGCATTGATGTCAATACAGAAGATCCTTGCATTGTTTAGTCTATTCAGTTATCACGGAACTCAGTCATTACAGCTTGGCAAGCATGACTAATGTTATTTCAATTTTGATAACATTTCTTCATACACAAACTTGGTGTTAATCGAGTTTACTCCTCCATGTAGTCTCCAAATTTACTCAGGCAGAGTTCACCACACAAAACGTTAGCACATGTATGCAGGTGAGCCCGAACGCTCTCCGAATTCTTCTGTTTCGCGCTTGCCGAAATTTTTTCCGTCCTCGCCCGGAGCCTGTTCGCAGGCTAGTATGAGGACCTCCCACTGTATTTCATCTCCCTGGCTTGGGCTGATTCCGCAAATATACCAATCAGTTCACAACCAACTAACCCGAATAGATCAATGGTTATTAATGTACGACTCAGCCGATCGCAGTAGCCAGAAATTCTCTCAGAATATCAGTGATGCTGATTCTCCGAGCTTAAAGCTTGCTAAAGTACATGACCGTGAGTCCTTGAGAATTTTTCAACATAAGGATTTGCGCCAAGTCCTGTTAAGAAGAACTTTTAAAATTATTCAATCAGATTAATTGTGATAAATATTTCAAAAACTAAGAACTCAGCCATTATGGACGTACTCGCCACAAACCAAATAAACGCTAAATCTCTATGGCATTACATTTAAAATCACCCCTGAAATCCCAGACGTTAATCCATTCGTCCGGGCTGTCAGTGTCTCAGTTATGAGGACAGCTATTTGAGAAAACGTTTCTTGTTTCGCTTGCCCTGCCGGCTTTTCTTCCTTCTGTGATTTCTTCTTTTTTCACTCAAACTAAGAGGGGACCCGGGCATCCCGGGCCCCTCCCCTATATCCGCCACTGAAAATAGCGAAGAAACGGACGATACCTTTCCGCCTTTTCTGTGTATAAGTGAACGTGAACGAAAAGGAACATTTCCGACAAGAAACGAGTGAAATCTAATCAGTCTTCACTTCTCTGTGTCTTTTTTTTTCATGGAAGTCAACAGGAGAAACACTGGAGAGAGAGCCGAAGAACTTTTAAATCACGGTAGATTAAGGTTGTCATCAATTTTCTGTATGAATTAGGGACAGCAGTGAATAGATTTTTGTTATCATGAACAAAGGGACAGAAGAATCTGATGTAAACTGGGACTGAAAATACTAACTAGAAGGAAACTTGTATGTGGGGTAGCGGGGATAAACTTTTACTTGAATGCATTCAGTTCAAAAGGGTTAAACACTGCTTTTTAATTATCACGAACTTGATAGCAATGGCCTGCTTTTGTTACAATACAACCCTAGAGATTAACAAGAGACACTCAGCAACAAGTTGTTGCTGAGCGTCTCCGATAAAGAATTCACACTCTGAAAATTCATAGGCCATCATTGATTAATGTTCTCAAGTCTCGAAGTGTCCTCTGAAACAAATCATGCCGGGAATTTCTCCCTGTTTCAGTTGAATTATTTCTCTTGGTGTTCTCAGTAGTAGTATTTTGTAGCTGATTTAGATTGACAATGGTCACCGTGATTCTTCGCGGCCCTTCACGACGTTCGATATCAGGAGACGATGATGTTAGTCTTTTTGTCCGTATTTAAAGTTTCAGGTCCAGGTTATCAGAAAACCAGGTCTAGTCGATTTTTTTGAAAAAATCTAGAGATTAATTGCTCATCAATCCTACTGCTGGCAACCGTGTTTCGCATAGCTGACGGGCGCCGTGTTCATTGTCGATCTTGGTGGAAGCCTGGAAACAAGTAGCGCGCACTATGAATGCTGGGACCGCACATGTTTCGTTCTTTTTTCCGCCATCTTTGTTTTACAGGAGTTGTTGAGTTGTCTTGGAAAGGTGAAAACATCATTTCTTTCGTTCAGATCCGCGTTGAAGTTAACATACCATTTACTGAAATATGCACTTATTTATCTGGCTCATTTAGATCATAAAATAAAATGCAGAACGAAGCAGGAGAATACGTTGATATGTACACTCCAAGAAAATGGTGAGGAAAGTGTTAAAGAAATAAAATTTCCCATATTTGTTGTCTTTTTGTTGTGATTTTCTATAGTTTAGGAGAATCCTCAAGTTTTTTTTGTATGAAATCGTTTTTGAAAAAAACACTTTTTTGTAGAACGCACTTTTTTTAAGCTTATAAAGTTGATCGAAACACGGGTGCTTATAAACCTACTATAAACTTAAATGAATTCGTTTCATTCTGTTTGCAGCTCTGTCACTAATCGTGTGATAGCGGCCAAAGATCATGCTTCAGTTCAGCTGAACATTGGGGAGGTAAGTAGAGAGATGCTGCTTGTGATACATGCATGAAAATCCAAGAAATAATTCAGCAGCGAGATTCAATGTT